TATGAATACCGGAGACCTGCCGCGCTTTTTATTGACTGGTAGTTAAGTTTATGGTGAACGTGTTTAGTTAGGTTTTATAGCTGCCACTCTTTTAAATGCCACTTGCATCCTGCGACATTTGTATACTGCGACATTTGTATACTGCGACATTTGTATACTACGACATTTGTATACTGCGACATTTGTATCCTGCAACATTTTCTCCTCCAATATTTATATCCTGCGACTTTTGACTCTTGCGACATTTGTATCCCGCGACATTTGTATCCTACAACATTTGTATCCTGCGACATTTGACTCTTGCGACATGTATCCTGCGACTTTTGTATCCTGCAACATTTGTATCCTGTGACATTTGTATCCCACAACATTTGTATCCTGCGACATTTGACTCTTGCGACATTTGAACACTATACCCAGATTTACCCAGAAAGAGATAAAAATGGCGGATGACTGATCGACGTTCAGAGACCAAAGTGCCTCGTTCTGGGCCAAAAACGTCTAGGTGTGCATCACGTGACTGACAGGCGTGACAGTGAGTACCCGCCACTTACCGTGTCCCAGAACCTGGTTACACTGGGTACCCACAGTGCTGGCACCGATCCTGCCTCCAATCAAGGCGAATTATTTACAAGACCTTCAGTGGGCTACCAAATAGTTCAAGCTAATTGTTTTTCATAAAAATTTGTTTACTTTCGTGGGGCAACTTTTAAATAAATACAATCAAATGTTTAATTATGACGGGAAAAAATCAACTTTTGAAATCAACTTCAGTAAAATTAGTCGGAAAACTGCCACAACTTTCAAACTCATCTTATGTAAAAATTAGTGATAAAGCAAATTATTACAATTTAATTTTGTCCATTTTATTTAAAATCTGGCTTCACTACATCCGTTTAAACGTAGAATAAGCACAGTTTAAAGTAAAATAAGAACCTAGCAAGTTATAGTTTTTAATAAAACATTTCAAAGATTTATAGGAACAACGACGTTAAGTTCAAAGAAAGTAGATTCCAAGTCAGGTTTTTTTTTTACAGAAGTCTGTCTGCAAATTATTGCGTTGAATCAAAGCTCTAGACAAAGTTTTATTTGAACAGCGAGTTTGTCGTGTCTGCAATACCTATTGAAATCCTACGCTAATGCGCTGTTTCTCATTTACGATGTGTGAAAATATTTGGTTACGTTTTCATAAAAAAAAAAAAAAACACAAAAAAAAAAAAAAAAAACAAATAAATGAACCCCCAAATATCTGACATAACACTGTAAATGTACGAATTTTTTTTATATCTACTCCCATTTTCAGCCAACAGATTCCAACCCCCATGTACACGGCTACGCTTGTATATTTCTTGGTGACCTCCCCCTCCCCCATCTAACCACACCCTTAAAAAAAACCCTTGATATAATTTCGGCGCATTACTCCAACCCCTATTAAATACGCCACAATACAAAGATTATTTATCTACCCCCACCCCCACCCTCAACCGCTCCCCCCCCCCCCCGTACGACGCCCATGCACAAAGCCTAGCTATCTTTCGGCTTGTGGTTGATCTTAGTGACGTGGTAATTAAATTAATTAAAGTGCTCGCTCATGTTGAACATCGGTATCGAGCTCCTCTACAGGACAGACCCCGCCTTTCTTTGACGGAGGATCTTGATTAAAGATCAGCTTTAAGAATAGGCCGCGGTCCACGAGATCGATATCCGTCCTCACGCCGATGGCCTTGACCTCTAGCGGCATCGATCTTGATCTCCAAACCAATCGATCTGAGAAGAATATTTTTTTTTTCAAGGAACGAACTCGGCAACACGCTGACCTTGGTCAACGAACTCGGCAACACGCTGACCTTGGTCAACGAACTCGGCAACACGCTGACCTTGGTCAGACCTACGGCTGATGTACACGGACGAAGCGAGGGTTGAAAGGTGGAAAAGTCTTGGGGCACAGTCTAGGTGCCAGGCGAGACCTTGGTCGTGACCTTGGTCGACAGACGGTTCCATCTCGACCAGTGACCTCTGTCCCCACAATGAGAATCGACCTTGATTTCTTCAATCAATGCCTAGTCACCGTTTGAATCTGAATCAGCCGTTTGGTCTTTGTCGGGCCCCCCGATTGGTTTCCGGTTTTCCCCCATGACCTTGACCCAAATGAAGAAAAATGTTGCACGTAGACGGTCGTGACGCGACGGTGTGGAATTTGTTTCCCACACCCGTCTCAATGAGACGGTATCAACATTCATGGGGACGGTATCAAAATTCTTGGGATGGGTATCAACATTCACGGGGACGGTATCAACATTCGTAGGGGCAGAATCAACATTCGCATGGACCGTATCAACATTCGTGGGGACGTATCAACATTCATGGGGACGGTATCAATATTCATGGGATGGTATCAACATTTATGGGGGCGGGATCAACATTCATAGGGACAGTATCAACATTCATAGGGACGGTATCAACATTCATGGGGACGGTATCAACATTCATAGAGCGGTATCAACATTCGCAGGGGCAGTATCAACATTCGTAGGGGCGGTATCAAATTCATGGGGGTTGTATCAACATTCTTAGGGGCGGTATCAAATTCATGGGGACTGTATCAATATTTGCATGAAACGCATTAACATTCGCATGGACCGTAGCAACATTCGCATGGAACGTATCAACATTTGCAGGGGCGGTATCAACATTAGCATGGACCGTAGCAATATGCATGGGGTGAGTATCAACATTCATGGGGACGGTATCAACATTCATGGGGGGGGGGTATCAACATTCGTAGGGGCGGTGTAAACATTCGTAGGGACGGTATCAACATTCGTGGGGTGGTATCAACATTCGTGGGGTGGTATCAACATTTGTAAGGACGGTATCAACATTCGTAGGGTCGTGATCAACATTCTTACACTTAGTACTAATATTCTTACACATAATATGAACAGTATCATCCATATTATGCCACATCGTGACAACTGCGGCATCAACATTCATACTATTGGTTTGAACAGTTTGCGAATGAAGTGTTGATATGAGTTGATATATGTTGATGTAGATGATTTATGTTACATCAGTTTAGTCATGCGGGTTATAAGTTATCCGATGTAAGTATCCCATGAGCTTCTTCGTTGAATACATATTGTAATGCTTGGCCATTTAGCTTGCATATAAATCAAAATACTTTGAGCAAACAACGTATGATGTACAAGGCCATTTCATTATGCACGTAATTTAAACAAATTTATGGCAAAATACTTTGTGCACTCAATGTATGTAAATCCCTGGCCATTTTCAAAATGCATATAATTTTGAGCAAATTAATGGCCAAATACTTTGCGCACACAATGTATGAAAATCCCTGGCCATTTTCAAAATGCATATAATTTTGAGCAAATTAATAGCCAAATACTTTGCGCACACAATGTATGAAAATCCCTGGCCATTTTCAAAATGCGTATAATTTTGAGCGAATTAATGGCCAAATACTTTGTGCACACAATGTATAAAAATCCCTGGCCATTTTGCTCATGCATACAATGTTGAGTCAGCCTATTTCCAAACACTTAGTAGCTCATGTTATAAACAAGCTAATGGAAACAATACTGAATTTACAATGTAAATTGTGTACGATGTACAATGTACACACTCCGATGCGTACACAATGGCATCAAACCAGCTCTATCGTTCATCAAAGATATTTTACAATTTTTTTTAATAATAAAAGGCCGATTATAAACTTTAGACTGTATTTTTCTAATTATTTTTGAGCATTTTTTGGTGAGCTTGACGACTTTTAGACATCTAATTGTTAAATAAAATAAACATTAGGCCTTATTTGACAAAAAACAATGAGCCAACTCATTTTATTTTCTCGCAGCTGCCAAGTTACGAAAGTAAAAACAATTATTAATGGGAATTACCGATTTTTGCGCTTAATAGCATTTCAATAGCTACGAATCAAAACATTTACCTGAAGAACATTAAGCGCAAGAATAATAATGTTCCTTGTGTAATAGCCAAAGTAAACTTTTTATTTTTATTTTAAAAGGGCGCTAAGGCCAAAAATAAAATTATGTGATGCTTTTTTATGTAGACAAAAAAGGTAGAAGCCTTTATATAAACACACTTTTTTCAAGTGAATTCTACTACATATATTCTAATTTTTATTTATTAAATCCAGCATTAATTTAGATTTTTTTAAAAAAAGAGTATCAGAAGACGAAGTTTACAAAAACTTCACGCCATTGGCTGAACTAGTCTGACGCCATTGGATAACGCTCGCGTGTCGTGTACCGTACAAAGTTCAAATCCTCGAATGGCGGCCATTTTGTTGCCAGACAAGGCATTTCTGCCATCCCTATCCTGGCCATTGTCATGCTGACGGTTAAAATGTTAATGTGACCCATCTAAAAGTTCATTCGCCTGGTTGCTTTAGTGGTTAAGAAGTTAATGTGTCATTGTGACATTCATACAGTTGATGTTTTTTTTTTACTGTTAGAAGGGGAAGGCACCACTAAGGATTCGTGCACATTTTATATAACACAAACAGGGTTGTTTATCAATGTTATATTGTGTTATGTGGGGTGGGGCGGGGCGGATGGATATTAATGTTGCTTAAGAAATGTTTTGATTTTTATATATTCTTATTTTCGTAAAATTTCTGCAATTTTTAATGGTTGTATAAAGACGTTAATACAAACTGGTTTTTTAAAATTATATTTTTTTATTTAAAAAAATATTTTAACACTTAATTTAGTTTACAACTTGCCCTAATCAAAATTCGACTCACAATTTAAAAAAAAAAATCAATATATTTTAAAAATTGATTTTTTTATCCCTATATTTTATTTTGCGTGGAAGAGAGGGGTGTCTACGGTAATGAAAGATACCGTTCTATATGGGTACAGAATGTCCCAGTTTTGTGTTATACAATATGTGCTGACCACTAATTACCAAAGCACACGTCCGAGCCAGGTCTACAGAAATAAACAAGAACTTACTTTTCCCGCGGTCTGCCACTAAAGGAGAGAGTTCAAAGGTCAAGTTTTTAATTCCAGTAGAATTATTGATAAAAATATTTTTTTTAAAAAATAACTAACAACAGTTTCATTGTTTTTAAAGGCGTTGATCAATCGTTAAATTTCTTGTATGAAGAGAGAGAGAAGTTCAGTTAAATTATCACCAAGACGAGGCTATAGAAAATAAATTCAAAGTCGGATAGAAACAGAAATTACGTGCACTACTTCATTTCCGTTTCCGTGCGCTATTTCAGCATTCGTTTAGAAAGTTAATTTACAAAAATAAAAATCTAGTTTGAATTTAATTTAAGAAAAAAAAAGAATTTTAAAAAATCAAATGTTATGTATACATGCCCGTGAGTAGATTTATTGTGACCTACGTGAAACACACCGCAATCTTCAAATAAACCCTGTACGAACAGAGGCCATTGTTCTAATTATAGCGACAACAATGTCAACTTAAATATGAAAGAAGGGACAAGAACAGGCACCTTTACCTAATTCTAACGACAACCGCGTCAAGTTAAAATGACAGAAGCGACAAGAACAGAGCCCCGTGACCTACTTAGAAATACAATAAAGAAATAATGACCTAGTTCTTAAGTAGGTCTAAAATGTAAAGAATCTACAACCGAAAAAAAAATGGATTCGAGAAAGGCTAGATCTATGAAAAGTTGGAAAACATGAACCAGAAAAGTTGGATCTCAACGTTTTTTGTTTTTACCGATTAGTTACATCTAAGCGGTGGCGACAGATGATTTCTTAAGATGTAATTATAGCTAGAGGTAACTGTTGAGATGTAATGATAGCTACAGGTAATTGTTGAGATGTATCACAGCTTGAGGTAACTGTTTAGATGTAATCATAGCTAGAGGTAATTGTTGAGATGTAATCATATCTAGGGGTAATTGTTGAGATGTAATCATAACTACAGGTAATTGTTGAGATGTAATCATAGCTAGAGGTAACTGTTGAGATATAATCATAGCTACAGGTAATTGTTGAGATTTAATCATAGATAGAGTTAATTGTTGAGATGTAATCATAGCTAGAGGTAATTGTTAAGATGTAATACTAGCTACAGGTAATGGTTAAGATGTAATCACAGCTAGAGGTAATTGGTGAGATGTAATCATAACTACAGGTAATTGTTGAGAGGTAATATCACAGGTACAGGTAAATACACCCTCGAGTTATCATAATTTCCCCATGGAATAAATGTGCTTTAGACTACCCTGCGTGTCTCTTAACCATTCCCCTACAATGTGTCTCCTAACCATTTCCCTACAATGCGTCTCCTACCATTTCCCTACAATGCGTCTCCTACCATTTCCCTACAATGCGTCTCCTACCATTCCCCTACAATGCGTCTCCTACCATTCACCTACAATGTGTCTCCAAACCATTTACCTACAATGTGTCCCCTAACCATTCCCTTACAATGTGTCTTCTAACCATTCCCCTAAAATGGTTCCTAACCATTCCCCTACAATGTGTCTCCTAACCATCCCCCTACAATGTGTCTCCTACCATTCCCCTACAATGTGTCTCCTACCATTCCCCTACAATGTGTCTCCTACCATTCCCCTACAATGTGTCCTAACCATTCCCCTAAATTGTGTCTCCTATCCATTCCCCTAAAATGTGTCTCCTAACCATTCCCCTAAAATGTGTCTCCTAACCATTCCCCTACAATGTGTCTCCTAACCATTCCCCTACAATGTGTCCTAACCATTCCCCTAAATTGTGTCTCCTAACCATTCTCCTACAATGTGTCTCCTACCATTCCCCTACATTGCGTCTCCAAACCATCCCCCTACAATGTGTCTCCTAACCATTCCCCTATAACGCGTCTCCTATCCATTCCCCTAAAATGTGTCTCCTAACCATTCCCCTAAAATGTGTCTTCTAACCATTCCCCTACAATGTGTCTCCTAACCATTCCCCTACAATGTGTCCTAACCATTCCCCTAAATTGTGTCTCCTAACCATTCCCCTACAATGTGTCTCCTAACCATTCCCCCACAATGCGTCTCCAAACCATTCCCCTACAATGTGTCTCCTAACCATTCCCCTATAACGCGTCTCCTATCCATTCTCCTACAATGTGTCTCCTAACCATTTCCCTTTAATGTGTCTCCTAACCATTTCCCTACAATGTGTCTCCTAACCATTCCCCTACAATGTGTCTCCTACCATTCCAATACAATGTGTCTCCTAACCATTTCCCTACAATGTGTCTCCTAACCATTCCCATATAACGCGTCTCCTACCATTCCACTACAATGTGTCTCCTACCATTCCAATACAATGTGTCTCCTAACCATTTCCCTACAATGTGTCTCCTAACCATTCCAATACAATGTGTCTCCTAACCATTCCCCTACAATGTGTCTCCTACCATTCCAATACAATGTGTCTCCTAACCATTTCCCTACAATGTGTCTCCTAACCATTCCCCTAAAATGTGTCTCCTAACCATTCCCCTACAATGTGTCTCCTACCATTCCAATACAATGTGTCTCCTAACCATTTCCCTACAATGTGTCTCCTAACCATTCCCCTATAACGCGTCTCCTACCATTCCACTACAATGTGTCTCCTACCATTCCAATACAATGTGTCTCCTAACCATTTCCCTACAATGTATCTCCTAACCATTCCAATACAATGTGTCTCCTAACCATTCCCCTACAATGTGTCTCCTACCATTCCAATACAATGTGTCTCCTACCATTCCCCTACAATGTGTCTCCTAACCATCCCCCTACAATGTGTCTCCTACCATTCCAATACAATGTGTCTCCTAACCATTTCCCTACAATGTGTCTCCTAACCATTTCCATACAATGTGTCTCCTAACCATTCCCCTACAATGTGTCTCCTACCATTCCAATACAATGTGTCTCCTAACCATTCCCCTATAACGCGTCTCCTACCATTCCACTACAATGTGTCTCCTACCATTCCAATACAATGTGTCTCCTAACCATTTCCCTACAATGTGTCTCCTAACCATTCCAATACAATGTGTCTCCTAACCATTCCCCTACAATGTGTCTCCTACCATTCCAATACAATGTGTCTCCTAACCATTCCCCTACAATGTGTCCTAACCATTCCCCTACAATGTGTCTCCTCACCATTCCCCTACAATGTGTCTCCTAACCTTTATTAGATTTCACCTTTACTGTGAGAATAATTAGAAAATAATTCATTATGGTCATTACAAAAAAAATATGGATACACAGACCTTGGAAATGTAATGTTTCGTGTGTTTAAGGCAAAAAAAGAGTATTAACTAGTTTCGTTGAAATAAATAGGATAAAGATATTATACACATGTGTGTAAAGGGGGTTGGGGGTGGGGCGTGAAAGAGCTATATCAAAGTGAGTTGCGGGGTAGAGGCGAGTGTGTGATGTTTAGGTAAACATCATGATGTTAAGATGTTTTTTAAAAAGTGTATCAACAAAACCAGGTAAAAGTTAATGTGGAAGCTCTCACACCGCAAAAACGTGTTGTTAATTTGCGAGTTAAGTAACGCCAAAAAAATGGTGCCCAAAGCAGAGTTTTGTATGTGTACTAGAAATTTAAAAAAAATTATCATTATTTTAATTATAAAAATAAAAAAATAAATTATCAATACAAATAATAGTACTTATATTTTTTTAAAAATAAAAAAGATCGACTTTTCGTTAACTTGAATTTTTTTTATTAAAATACTAATAATCAATGTTAATGTTAATTCCATAATATAGGAAAAAAAAACTAGACATGATTAAAGTAATGGAAGTGGTACACATGATGTACTAAAGAGGAGATTTTGTTCTCAAGAGCAAAGCTAGTGTGATCGTCTGCTCAATAGAAGAGGGTGTGACTACCCGGAGACATAATGGTAGTTCTGGACTCCGACTAGCTGGGCAATACGAGAGAAAACTTGTGTCCTTAAGAACATCGGAGAGTGAATATTATTTTAGAACTATGGAAGTTATCAGAAGAAAGTATTTAGATGAGTTGTCAAGTGATAGAAATAGGGAATCTGTTGGCTAGATCTTGTGAGATAATCAGTACAAACTTCAAACACAGCTTCTTGAAATAGTCTGTAGAGTATCGTCAAGACTGCAGCACAAAGGGTGTCTAGATTAACTGAATGGTGCCTAAACTAGCAGAATGGTGTCTAGACTAGAAAAAAATGTCTAGACTAGCAGAATGAAAGGTGTCTAGACTAGCAGAATGATATGTGTCTAGACTAGAAATAAATGTCTAGACTAGCAGAATGAAAGGTGTCTAGACTAGCAGAATGAAATGTGTCTAGACTAGCAGAATAAAAGGTGTCTAGACTAGCAGAATGAAAGGTGTCTAGACTAGCAGAATAAAAGGTGTCTAGACTAGCAGAATGAAAGGTGTCGAGATTAACGAATGGTGTCTAGACTAGCAGAATGAAAGGTTTCTAGACTAGCAGAATGAAAGGTGTCTAGACTAGCAGAATGAAATGTGTCTAGACTAGCAGAATAAAAGGTGTCTAGACTAGCAGAATGAAAGGTGTCTAGACTAGCAGAATAAAAGGTGTCTAGACTAGCAGAATGAAAGGTGTCGAGATTAACGAATGGTGTCTAGACTAGCAGAATGAAAGGTTTCTAGACTAGCAGAATGAAGGACGTCTAGACTAGGAGCATAAAAGGTTTCTAGACTAGAAAAAAGGGTGTCTAGACGAGAAGAACGAAAGGTGTCTAGACTAGAAAAGAGAAGTACGTCTAGACTAACAGAATGAAAGGTGTCTAGACTAGCAGAATGAAAGGTGTCTAGACTGGAATAATGAAGGGTGTCTAGACCAAGAGTATAAGTTATTATAACAAAATAAATGTTTTATATCTAGACTTACGTACTTAGATATTTCATAACTAATAAAGTATTAATCTAACATTACAAATAGGGTACTTTGATTAAAAAAAATAGGCATTAGAAATTAACTATTTTTAAAAAAAAATACACCTAGACCTATTCATGTTAGGGGAAAAATGTATGCGATGTGTAAGAGAGAGAACCCAAGCTTACATTAGATGTGTAACAGGTGTAAGAGCGAGATATTACATTAGATGTGTAAGAGTGAGAGTCCTAGATTACGTTAGATGAGTAAGAGATAAGAGCGAGAGATTACATTAGATGTGTAAGAGGTGAAACCAAGACGACTACATGTGTAAAGATGATCCTAAACTACAGGTGTAACAGGTGTAACAGGTGTAAGCCAGAGTCCTAGATTACATTAGATGTGTAACATGTGTAAGCAAAAGTCCTAGATTACATTAGATGTGTAACAGGTGTAAGCAAGAGTCCTAGATTACATTAGATGTGTAACAGGTGTAAGAACGAGGATCCTAAGCTACACGTGTAAGAGCCAGTCCTAATCTACACTAGGTGTAAAAAAATAACTTGGTAGAATATTTTGATAGGATGAAAAAAAAAATAATTGAATAACAGTTATACAGAAAAAAAAATCAATCTAAAACTAAATTATTGCCATCATGCATATCGTGCTTGATACAAAAAAAATATTGTTTTCAAAGTAAATTTTTAAAAAAAATGTGTCTTGAGTTTTTTTTTATAGTATTCCTATCTCTGTCGCCACCTTAATGAAATCATATTAATTAGAAGTGGCTAATCAATTAATTTTGGTTTTCTTTTATACGTTTCATTTACATTGTTTTAACAATTGTTTCGTCATTTTTTTTTCAAATAATCGCATAACTTGAATCAATTATAGTTTTTAAAATTTCTAAAAAAATCTGTACAGTGTGTTAGGCGTGCATAAACTAAGTCTAAAAAATTGAAATGAAAAGAATGAAGCTATGAAGAGAAAAAAAACGCAACTAGTGCTCCAATCTCGTGAGGTCTAGACTCAAGTGCACATTTGAAAAAACTGATGCTAAAGTATACATCATAAACAAGACAATATCAATGTAAAAAGATACGAGTCAAATAATGCATTTAAGCACATTGTTATTTTTTTTTTCATTCTAGTTTTTAAATTTTAAATTTAAAAAGAAAAAAATTTAGATGATACATACACGAGCCGCCATGGATGTTGTGGGCTTTTCTAGAAGGTCCCAGACTTTCTGGCGCCAGTGGGAGAACATCCCGGTGCCAAAGTCGTCTTCGTCTCGCTGCCGGATGGACTCGGCCTCCTTCCGGATCTCCTCGTACACGTGCTCCTTCCTCTGGTGGTACCGGTGCTGGCAGCAGGACTCCAGGTACAGCTCGTCCACGCCCCAGTACTCGAGGTCCTCGGAGAAGGACAGCACGCACATCTCCTCCACCAGGTGCAGCCGGCCCGTGCGGTAGAAGTTGAGGATGGAGGCGAAGGACCGAGGGTGGCGGTCGAAGAAGTACTCGTTCTCCGAGAGGTTGTAGTCGTCACAGAGCTCCATCAACGCCTCGTGGCACGAGCAGTCTCTGAGCTTCCCCAGGCGCGTGTGGGGCATGCGCTCCAACGTTCTCCACAGGACCTCGTGCTTGACGCCGCCCACGTTCAGGACGACGCGACGGCTCCGGTGTCGGGACCGAGCGATGGCGAAGGCGTCCGGTGGGTTGGGGTCGTGGGTGGGGTAGTATCGTCCGTGGGCGGAAAAGGGGATCGCCGGGCCATGCCTCCCCTGGTCGGGGTTCCCCGACCCGCCCATGCTGGCGTAGGAGCCGGCGGGTGACGAGGGCGACGGGACGGTGGGCGTGTAGCCGACGATTTTGACTTCTAGCCGTTTTTGATCGGAACGTGACTTGAGACAGGAGGGCGTGACGTGCTGGTTGGGCGTGGTTGACGAGCTCTGGGCGGAGAATTCCCGCGGGGTTGACTGGGTGGCTAGGTCAGCCGTCGAGGACGGGGACGAGGGGCCCCGAGAGCCCGAGTCCTTCTTGCGCATGCTGGCAGGCCCCGAGTGATGCCTGTAGGGGGCTCCATGTCCCCCGCCTAAGCTGACGAGGCCCTCCCCGCTCTGCGCTGAACCGGAGCTGTGGAGAGGAAGGGATGTGGTCAGTACTCAAGAGGTGATAAGTACACAAGGGGTGGTCAGTACATAACATAAAGAGGTGGTCAGTACAGAACATCAAGAGGTGGTCAGTACCTAACATCAAGAGGTGGTCAGTACCTAACATCAAGAGGTGGTCATTATACAACATAAAGAGGTGGTCATTATACAACATAAAGAGGTGGTCATTATACAACATAAAGAGGTGGTCAGTGCACAAGAGGTGGTCAGTGCACAAGAGGTGGTCAGTACACAAGAGGTGGTCAGTACACAAGAGGTGGTCAGTACACAAGAGGTGGTCAGTACACAAGAGGTGGTCAGTACACAGGAGGTGGTCAGTACACAAGAGGTGGTCAGTACACAGGAGGTGGTCAGTACACAAGAGGTGGTCAGAACATAACATAAAGAGGTGGTCAGTACAGAACATCAAGAGGTGGTCAGTGCACAAAAGGTGGTCAGTACACAAGAGGTGGTCAGTACACAAGAGGCGGTCAGTACACAAGAGGTGGTTAGTACATAACATAAAGAGGTGGTCAGTACACAAGAGGTGGTCAGTACACAGGAGGTGGTCAGTACACAAGAGGTGGTCAGTACACAACATAAAGAGGTGTACATATAAAATGCTGGGCAGTACAAGGTAACTGGCGTTACACGTCATTACAGCTTAGAACATAGTAAATTCAAACATTACAGCTTGGAAAATTAAAGCTTCATACATTTCAACTATTTCATGAGTCATATAGTGCAAATTCTACAACAAATTGTATGTTTATGTATGTGGTGTACTCGTGGGGAACAACAATACACAAAAATTGAAATTCAGAATTTGTTAGCATCAAATTTCCTTAATCCTCCATCTTAATATTGATTTCCGCATTCAGCTTTAAGCCTGGGGCCGAAATAGCTCATACCTCAGTTTAAAGCGAGTCAATTGACCTTTTTTTTATTTTTGACAGGTTATTGATAGTTTTATTTTTACACTTGGCTGCTCGTGCAATGGTTTTATCTGGCTGAAGGCGTGAATCACGTTTAGAGATCTACCAGCCTCCACCCCCCCCCACCCTACTCCCAGTGATGTGGTTATACATGAGGGCATGTGGGGGCGAGTACTTGATATTGTAATCCACCCTGTTGCTATTTTTAGAAGGAGGAAAAGTGACGTCAGACTTTGTTCATCAAACCACTGCAGCTCCCCCATCTCCCCTTTGCAAAGAACAACATAAATACGCCTACGTATATATTTTAAAGTATAATATGAATGTGTCTGCCGGCCAATATATGTACTGATATTAATGTATAATTGATATGTATGTCTTTATATGGTATCAGAGTGAGTATAGGCCAGTAATGATATGGTGACTGAGGGCATAGGTCTATACTGATATGGTGACATAGCAGACATATGCCTGTACTGATATAATGACATGGCATATGCCTGTACTGATATAGTGACATGGCATATGACTATACTGATATAGTGACTTGGCATATGACTATACTGATATGGTGACATAGCAGACATATGCCTGTACTGATATAGTGACATGGCATGTACTGATATGGTGACATAGAGGGCATATGTCTGTACTCATATGGTGATATAAAGGGCATATGTCGGTACTCATATGGTGATATAAAGGGCATATGTCGGTACTCATATGGTGATATAAAGGGCATATGCCTGTACTGATATGGAGATATACAGGGCATATGCCTGTACTGATATGGTGATTTAGAGGGCATATACCTGTACTGATATGGTGATATAAAGGGCATACACCTGTACTGATATTGTGATATGGTGATATAGAGGGCATCTCTATGGCAGCTAACGATTAACTAGAACCCACAATCTCACCTGACAATAAATCCCAAAATATAAATCACCCCTTCGTATGACCATAAGTCCTACTCTCTTAACCTTAAACTTTTTACCATAAGCCTAATACTGTCTAATAATCTCGCGTTAATCCTTAAACTAATCCTAAATTTAATTATAACACCCATTACTCTTATTATAACCGACAAAACATATAACCTTAGCCTGAACTTAATCCTTAATATAACCCTGATTCTTAAACCTGCTTCAGAATCTGGAACCAATCTCAGCACTGTGTTGTTGTAAATTCCTAAACCCAAACCCTCAGATCCCCCCTCCCCCTCTCACACCGTCGCTTATCTAAAAAGATAACAAGTCAGAACAGTAACAGAAGGTAAGCTGTTTCTCTTCTAATTGTTCTTTGTATTCCATAATGCATTGGTCCATGTCGGGTCCCTACCTGCTGATGTTGTTATGTGTGACGTTAGGGGGAAGTGGCACCCACGGGCTCCACGTTACACAGAGATTTATCGTGTCCTAGGGTACAGCGACGCACTTCATTCAAACAGATGGACTGGATACCAGTCGATGACAAGCATTAAGTTAAAACAAAACGGGCATGTAAAACCTTCTTATAGAGGTGAAAATGGGTGAAAATGGTAAAGAGACTTTGTTGTGTTTTGGTTGTATGTGGCTCCACAATAGTTGCAGATGCAATTCTTTTGATTTGTCAAATATTGACTGCTGTTTGTTTCTATTCTCTTAGGACAACGTCATTGATATTTTAACCCCATGCGTCAAGGCAAACGTCTTCTATATTTTTAACTACTCAAAATAAGAATACAAATCTAAGGCGATACAGTATCGTGCATGAGATACAGTACAGAATTAGTGGTAGCGTATCGGATGATACGATATCGTTATATATATATATATATATATATATATATATATATATACACTAACATAATATAAATATTAACGAGCACATTCTTGTGTTATATTTAAATAGTTAGGCCTTAGATAAAGAAGCCGATATAATTATATGTATACTAAATATATATAAAAAATAGTACGAATATAATTGATATATGTTTAAACGCAGGAATATATATATATATATATATATATATATATATATATATATATATATATATATATATATATATATATATATATATATATATATATATACACTAAGGCTTATTAAATACTTTTAAGGCAAACTTAATTGTTCATCGATTTTGCATTTTTAATTTTACTAAAGGAAAAAAAAAACAGCACCAAAATGCAGTCTAATATCGACAGGTGTAGCATTAAAAATTCATATATTTTAAAAAAATCGAACTTAGAGCCTTACCTGACCCAACTAAACTGACATCAACTGACAGGGAAATTTGAGTTGGGCACTCACACTTTAGTTCTAGCTGATCTACGTGTTGTTCACATCTACCTGTGTTATCGCGGACTACACGCTAAGGGGCGAGGGCTACACGCTCGGGCGAGGGCTACACGCTGGCTTCCCCCTCTCGCAGTGTGTACACTCGCAGGTGTGTGCCGACTGCTCACTCTGAATGCAAACAGCGCACACGTGCATCACGTGACCAGATTCCCGTTTATTTTCACCTGTTTTGATGGCGCTGGTAAACATGCACGAGTTATCTCCCTTTACCCAGTCATTAGAATATTTCTCTCCCTTATATCCAAGCATCTTCGTATCGCCAGTCCCGGAGTGGAATTATGAAACGAGTCCAACGGGAAATAAAAAAACAAACAACACAACGACGGTTAAGCTCCATCAAGCTAGTTACATAAGCAGACAGCTCACATAAGGAGCTTAAATGGTCAGCTCAGTGTCCACCTGCCTGAACTCTCTGGAGTTAAAGGGGAGTTAACATAAGCTCCCAGAGATCTGTTAAAAAAATATACGCGTGCAGTGAAAAACATCCTATTCCCATAGAATATATAGATCTATACGTAAATAAACACACTTAGAAATGGAAATATTGTACAAAATTTAGAGCGTTATGTTGGAAAGATTTTTTAGGTTCCCTTTTTGGTCGAGCACACCCCCCCTCCCGGTTTAGTTACTCGTTTTCTGAAATAGCTTAACGGCGCTTGGTATATCTTGACGGCCACCAGTATAACTTGACGGCCACAATTATAACTTGACGGCCCCCATTATAACTTGACGGCCACCAGTATAACTTGACGGCCACCAGTATAACTTGACGACCACTAGTATAGCTTGACGGCCACCATTATAACTTGACGGCCACCAGTATAAGTTGACGGTCACCATTATAACGTGACGGCCACCAGTATAACTTGACGACCACTAGTATAGCTTGACGGCCACCATTATAACTTGACGGCCATCAGTATAAGTTGACGGTCACCATTATAACTTGACGGCCACCATTATAACTTGACGGCCACCAGTATAACTTGACGGCCACCAGTATAACTTGACGGCCACCATTATAACTTGACGGCCACCATTATAACTTGACGGCCATCAGTATAACTTGACGGCCACCAGTATAACTTGACGGCCACCAGTAAAACTTGACGGCCACCAGTATAACTTGACGGCCACCATTATAACTTGACGGCCACCAGTATAACTTGACGGCCACCATTATAACTTGACGGCCACAAGTATAACTTGACGGCCACCAGTATAACTTGACGGTCACCATTATAACTTAACGGCCATCAGTATAAGTTGACGGTCACCATTATAACTTGACGGCCACCATTATAACTTGACGGCCACCAGTATAACTTGACGGCCACCAGTATAACTTGACGACCACCAGTATAACATTGCTAGTGTCTTGTGAGACAAACTTTGTATGAAACAATAGATTTATAGACGGTAATACATCGATACATTTGGAGGACCATACATATATTTCCATATACATTAAGAAACATAATGCCTTACCTTTGAGGACCTACCCATAATGCCCAACCAAATGTAGCAATGTCAAGGTGTGTATATCACAAACCTTTACTCTGTACAAACACTAAAGTTTTTAAAGGTGTATTCCTGCAGTAAACATCGCTTTCACGGAGTTTAGGATACCTTAAAAAATCCGCGAAGACGTGTTTTATTTTTTGCTTGGGATTTATCGCTGGGATTTGTGCCTTTAACAAAT